AGTTAATTTCCTACTTGAGTCCCCATTAGTGAAATAAACTCGAAAGTGATTCAAGGGTTAAATTTTTACAATGAGATCATAAAATAATCACAGCATAGATACATAAATACTTCTTCTAAGCATAAAAGAAAAAGAGACTTCAGAATATAAATGTAAGAACATAATTGAAATTAGAATGATATCATATTAACAGAGCAATATCATTATATACCAATGGGAGAAGAAAAACACCTTTCTTTTCTTTTCTTTTCTTTTCTTTTTTTTCTTTTTTTTTTTTTTGAGACAGAGCTGTCACCCAGGCTGGAGTGCAGTGGTGCGATCTCAGCTCACTGCAACCTCCACCTCCCAGGTTCAAGCGATTCTCCTGCCTCAGCCTCCTGAGTAGCTGGGACTAAAGCTGTGTGCCACCATACTCTGCTAATTTTTTGTATTTTTAAAAGAGATGGGGTTTCATCGTGTTACCCAGGGTGGTCTTGATCTCCTGACCTCATGTTCCTCCCACCTTGGCTTCCAAAAGTGCTGGGATTACAGGTATGAGCCACCATGCCCATCCTAATAAGCCAATTTTTTTTTTTTTTTTTGAGACAGAATTTCGCTCTTGTTTCCCACACTGGAGTGCAATGATGTGATCTCAACTCACCACAACCTCCTCCTCCCGGGTTTAAATGATTCTCCTGCCTCAGCCCCTCGACTAGCTGGGATTATAGGCATGCGCCACCATGACCAGTTATTTTGTATTTTTAGTAGAGACGGGGTTTCTCTATGCTGGTCAGGCTGGTCTTGAACTCCCCACCTCAGATGATCTGCCTGACTCAGCCTGTCAAAGTACTGGGATCACGGGTGTGAGCCACCACACCCAGCTAAAAAACATCTTAAACAAAAAGCTGGCAAGAGAAATAAAGTGGCATTTCTCACACACAAAAACACACACACACACTCAGAAGTGATTAATAAACACATGAGGCCGGGCGCGGTGGCTTACACCTGTAATCCTAGCACTTTGGGAGTCTGAGGTGGGTGGATCACCTGAGGTCAGGAATTCAAGATCAGCCTGGCCACCATGGAGAAACCCCATCTTTACATAATAAATAAATAAATAAAAATTAAAAAATAAACACATGAAAAAGTTCAAGTTACTGACAACAAAAGAAATATAAATCTGTAGATGAAACAGAAACATAATGAGATGCTAAGAATAATCACTGAATTTATAATACCCAGTGGGAAATAGAGGCATCTATGGGAGGTGATATGCACAAGGATGACTTACTTTGAACAACTGTTATGGAGAGCAATTTGCTACTATATATCCACATTCTTAAAACCATTTACAACATTTGATTTCACCTTTTTATCTCCAAGATGTGACCCTAAAAATGGCACAGAGATGGACTCCTCCACAAGGATGCTCACTGCAGTGGAAAAATGGAAAGAAACCACGTGCCCAAAAACAGAGCTGCTGGAGAACAGTGACTCAGAAAAACACCTGGTGAGCCAGCAAGGTAGAAGGTGAAGTCACCTGAGCAAAAGATCACATGTCACTACATGAAGTGAAGCAGGCTATGAAATGTGTGATTCCCATGACACGGAGAGAGACGCTCAGAACACACTGAAGGTTTTTCCCAAATAACAAGTCATCTTCGAATGGTAGGATTATGACCATTTTCTTCTTTGGAATTTTCCTCTTATTTTCTAAATTTTCTACAATAAAATGTATGGGGTTTATAGCCAGAAAGAAAAGAGAGAAAGAAAAAGAAAGAAGAAAGCAAGCAAGAAAAGAAAGAAAGGAAGGAAGCGAGAGAGAGAGAGAGAAAGAAGAAAAAAAGAAAATAAATAAATAAATAAATAAATTCTTCAAAAACAACTCAAAACCTCGATCTATTCAGCTCAAGCCAGGACTTGGAGCGGCACTTATGCTGTTTCATTCTTCTTTCACATAACCTTAAGCTCAAAATTGTTGTGGAAACCTAAATGTTTTTCCCCAAAAAAGCCAGCCTTGTTGACAGTGTTTTCACTCCCTTCTTGCAGAAAGGGCTCCGGGGGCACTGAGGATCACTAGAACCTTGGAGTTCTTGTTCACTGCAGCAGGGTTCCAGCCCAGGACAAGTGACATGTGCAAAATCCCCAAATCTCCTGCAGCTCTAGAGCAAAGGCACGAGATTGAACAACTGGGGATGGAGTCCAAACATGGTGACAGCAGAGAGAAAATGATTTCATTAAGAGATTTCCCACTTGACAGTATCTCAGAAATAGCCTGACAATGACTCTCTTTCTCTCTCTCCCTCTCTCTCTGAAGCTCAGTTTTCCTCCCCTGTAAAAAGAGGGGTTCTCCCCCTTGGGTAAACATTAGAGTTACCCGGGGAGCAAATAGGAAACACACAATCTCAGGCTCATTGAAGAAAGAAACAGCCAGTGCCTCCGTATCTTTACCTCGGTGAGAACCCAGGAACAGTGCTCGACCCAGTGCTGCTTTAATGTGCATATAAATTCCTGGGAGGTTTTTGTTTGTATTTTGAGACAGAGTCTTGTTCTATCACCCAGACTGGAGTGCAGTGGCGCAATCTCGGCTCACTTTAACCTCTGCCTCCCGGGTTCAAGCGATTCTCCTGCCTCAGCCTCCCAAATAGCTGAGATTACCAGTGTGTACCACAATGCCTGCCTAATTTCTGTACTTTTAGTAGAGATGGAGTTTTATTATGTTGGCCAGGCTGGTCTCAAATTCCTGACCTCAAGTGATCTGCCCACCTCAGCCTCCCAAAATGCTGGGATTATGGGCATGAGACACCGCACCCAACCAGAGAGCTTATTCAATAACATGCAGATTCTGCTTCAGTAGGTCTTCAGACTTACATGGAAGCTCCCAGGTGATGCCCACGCTGTTGGTCTGAGTCCCACCCCTGAGTAGAGAGGCTCTAAAGCTCCTTTTCTATTCTTTGTCTTCTATTCTGCCACCAGCCTTCCCTCCCTTCGTGTCTTCCTTTCCTGCATTTAGTAACCATGGGCCCCTGATGTGTGCAGACACAGTAGAGTACACCACCGTGCCAGCATGGGCTAGGGTTTTCTAGATGGTGCAGCTTCATGGTCAGCCTTGAGGTGAAGCAGACTGGCGCTGCCCTTAGAAGTTGCATCTCTTTAGGTAAATTACTGCTCCTGAAAGGGTCTTAACCCATGATGAAGAGTTGGGGGTCTGGTCAGGCATAATGGCTTATGCCTGTAATCCAAGGACTTTGGGAGGCCAAGGTGGTTAGAGACCCACCTAGGCAACATGGCAAGAATTCATCTCTACTAAAAAAAAAATAAGTTTTTAAAAGTAATAAATATACTTGGGGATCCACAGGGTCATAGGCAGGCAGGGGTATTGTCAGCTGTGCAGCTTGCTAGGTTCCTGTGAAGCTGCATGGAGGATGGTGGGAGGAGCCAGTCAAGTGGAGATAGGGAGAACCTCCTCACCTCCCCAGTTCTGCCTCAGGACAGTTTCTGAGAGCCTGTTTGTCTTGCTACAAGATGCAGAGGAGGCCGAGGTTCCGCTCTTAGGACCCACTCCCTGGTTCCTCCCATTTGGCTGGCTGCTTCTTTCTTCATCTCCCTTGCAGCCCTGAGAGCAGCCCAGTTCTTTCCCTGGTGTTAGCAAAGAATGTTTTAAGAAAGATCAAGTTTAAGACACAAGAAAAGCCTGCATAGGTTTTCATAAATTTTGAAGCAAAGTTCTTTCTAAACCAGGCACAGTGGTTCATACCTGTAATCCCAGCACTTTGGGAGGCTGAGGTGGGCAGATTGCTTGAGCCCAGGAGTTCAAGACCAGCCTGGGCAGCATAGTAAAATCCTGTCTCTACAAAAAATACAAGTATCAGCCGGGCATGGTGGTCCCAGCTACTCAGGAAGCTGAGGTGGGAGGATCACCTGAGCCCAGGAAGGTTGAGCCTTCAGTGAATCCTGACTGCACCATTGCACTCCAGCCTGGGTGACAGAGTGAGATCCTGTCTCAAAAACAAACAAACAAATAAAGCCCAAAAAAACAAAGATTCTTCCTTAACACAAGAGACAGTGAAAAGGGCCTAGGGAAATGATTTTCAAACTTGAGTGAGCATTAAAATCACCCGGGTAGCTTTAAAAATTGATGTCCTGTTCCCACTGCAGCCCAATTAAATCAGAGTGTTGGGGTAGGAGCCCGGTGTCAGTGCTCTTCAAAATTCCCCAGGGGGTTCCACTGCACAGCCAAGTTTGGGAGCTACTGGCAGGGAGAGAGGGATGCCTGGGTTCCTATCTCAGCTCATTCACAGGCTTGCGGTGAGACCCCAGTGTCAGTTTCTTGCCCTTCCCAGGCTCAGTTCCCTCATCTCAAAAATGATGCAGTCATGTAGCTCTGAAATTATTTTTTATTTTATTATTATTTTTCTTGAGACACAGCCTTGCTCTATCATCAGGCTGGAGTGCAGTGGTGCAATGTCGTCTCACTGCAACTTCCATTTTCTGGAATCAGGAAATTCTCCTGCCTCAGAATCCTGAGTAGCTGATACTACAGGCATGCACCACCACACCTGGCTAATTTTTTGTATTTTTAGTAGAGGCAGGGTTTCACCATGTTGGCCAGGATGGTCTGGATCTCTTGACTTCGTGATCCTCCCCCCTCGGCCTCCCAAAGTGCTGGGATTACAGGCGTGAGCCACTGTGCCAGGCCTGAAATTATTTTTAATTTTACAAATTACTCACATAGAACCAAAGAATTAGAAACACCTATGAAATCTAATTATAGGAAGGAAAAACAACTTAGATCTTAGAGAACAGAACTAGTACTAAATTCATTAAAAATTTCCCAAGTTCCCACTCTCATACTCTGCACACTGAATTGCGGGTAGTAACAAAAGATTCCTAACTAGGCCACATTTACCTTTCAATGCTGTGCAGTAGAAGCACACATCACAGCATATTAAATAAGGACTACACGTTCTTTTTTGCTTTTCTGGCCTTTATATATAAAACCAGTTACCTACCATTGTGACGAGCAGGACTCCTTATAGGCAGATGCATCCAGGAAAAGTCACATCAAACTTATATACTGAAGAGGGGAACCACGCATTTGACATCACTGGGAATGATAACAAGGTGAGAACACATTGTGTGTTTACAGAGGGTTGACTATTAACAGGAAAGTATGGGTTCAAATGATCTATGAGTTACTAATCAATCAGATCTCCACCTTAGTTATGTGTTTACCTTGTCCCCCAACCTGATCTGCATTTGCTTCTGACCTAAAAAAGCAGAGGAGAGAACGCCTCTTTGCTGGGCCTTCGCTCTGTGCTGGTGGATTGCTAGCAGGTGATGTATGACATGTCCTTATTTAATTTCACATACAAAGAAACAGAGCCTCAGGGATGCCAGTCACAACAGCCAGGAGGTGAAGGTGGGCTTCCTGAAGGCATAAGAATAGCCCACCAGGCACACCAGGCCTGCGTCTGTGGCCCAGTTGACACTGCCCTTAGGGTCTGGCATGAGAACAGAAAGGGGTCAAGCCATCCTGCAGGGCACAGGAGAGCGAGACCTACATACAGCTCAGGTTTCCCTGACAAGCTCAATTGCTGGACCTTTGCAGAGCCCTCCTTGAATCTGTAGTCTACTCCCTGCTGCATCAAGCAAGCCTTCCTTCTCCTCATTCCATGGTGGTCTCACCACAACAGAACACCGCAACTGGGTGGCTTTGACTAAAGAGACATATTTGCTCACAGTTCTGGAGACTAGAAATGTGAGGTCAGGCCGTTGGGGAGACTCGTTTTCCTCTGAGGCCTCTCTCCTTGGTTTGCAGAAGGCCAGGCTCTTGCTGCCTCTTACGTTGCACGCACCCCTGGTGTCTCTGTGTGTCTGAATTTCCTCTTCTAATAAGGACACCGGCTGTATTGGGTTAGCGTCGACTCCAACTGTCTCATTTTACTTAAGTCCCCTCTTTAAAGGCCCTGTCTCCATTAGTCACATTCTGGGATACTGGGGCTTAGGGCTTAAACCTATGAATTTTGGGGGGATGCAGCTGAGCTCATAACACAGTTTTATCTCAAAAAGTCCCCTCCCTCCCCACCACACCTTGCTGCAGTTCCAGAAATTTATCCCTGACTTCCCTCTGCCCAGAGATGAGAGTTCACTCTCCTAACCAGGGGGTCCTTGAAGCTCTGGGCTGGCCACAGTGACCCTTGCCAACACCATCCTCTACCCACCCTAAAATCAGCCCCACCACCCGTAACACAGCTTGGGGTCACTCTCCGGCTCCCTGGAAGAGCTGTAGTGCTGTCTGGCTGCCTCCCCACTCACCAAGGATGATACACACTTCTGCCTTCACCTGCATGAGTTTAAAGTGTGCATCGACTCTAAGTTCCCGGAAATTGGGGCGCATTCCTCATGCACTGTAGCCCCTTGGTTTCTTTAAAACTGCAAGTTTGGAGAGCTTCCCTCAGTGTGAAATGGAAAGTTCTGCCTTACTTTGGGAGTGGCTACGACTTGCTGCCCTCACCTCCTTGCCTGCAGGGCACAAGCACAAACCTCAGCTCCACAAACACTCTCATCTCAGCAAGGCCTCTTCAGAGAGGGTTCAAGGACACTGGAATCACGCAGCATCTCCCTGGGAATGATGGGGTGGAGGGTTCTGGCTCTCAGGGCAAGGGTGTCTGGCGTCCCGTGTGCAGTGTCAGCGCCTGGGGGCCGTGACTGTGACTGGTAGCAGGGTGGTCGTGCTGGAGCCATGCAGCAGTGTGGATTCAGTGCTCTACCTGACCTTGTGCCAACAAAGCCGGTGCCTCTGGCTCTTGAATTCTCTAATAAATCTCTTTCCAGCTCAAACCATCTAGAGCAAGTTTTATTGTTTGCAATTAGGAACTCTGTGACCAAGACAGGGACTGTGACCTATTCCTGTCCATGTCCCTCCCAGTGACCGGCAGGGTGCCTGGCACAGAACAGCTGCGCAGAACAGGATTTCACTGGGTTATCTCAGCTATTCCCAAGTAAAAATATCCTGGCATGACCAACCCATACCATTGCTGAAATCTCCTGCTCACAGGGGTTGAGAAAGGGATGCTGAGGACAGGTGTGGCCAGCAGCCTACAGCGGGGAAGGCAAAACTGAAATGAGCAGTACTTCTGGCTTCCCAGGTGTGACACCAGCTCTGACCTAACCCGCCTGATCAAATTTCACTGTTGATCCTACCTCAACTCCCATCCTTACAAATGGAACCAGCTTGTTTTTCTTTTAATTATTCTTTTTCTTTTCATTTATTTTAATTTTGTTAAAAGAGCAAGTATTGCTCTGCTGCCCAGGCTGGAGTGCAGTGGCACCATCATAGCTCACTGTAACCTCTAATTCCTAGACTCAAGCAATCCTCCCATGCAAGCCTCACAAGTAGGTGGGTCTACAGGTGTGCACCACCACACCCAGCTAATTTTTACATTTTTTATAGAGACAGGGTCTTGCTGTGTTGCCCAGGCTGGTCTTGAACTCCTGGACTCAAGTGATCCTCCTGCCTCCACCTCCCAAAGTGTCGGGATTACAGGCATAAGCCACCATGCCCGGACTGATTATTATTTTAATGGCTACATTTTATTCCATGGAATGATTTGGGGCATCAGTGATTTGGTCAGGTCCCTCTTCTTGAACACTCAGATTGTATCTGACCTTGTTTTCCTGTAACGTGGAACACTGTTGAAATCCAGGTCCATCCAATAAAAATTTCCCACACTTATGCTAATTTCTTTAAGATAAGTTGATAGAGGTAGAATTTTTGGGTAATAGAACATTATAATTTTCTCAAAATATCACCTGCTATTCTGATAGGTGGGAAATGTTTTGTGTTAATTTATTTTTCTTTGCTAATTGGCAAGATTAGACATTTTTTTGTATATGTACTAAGCAATTGTTTTTCTTCTTTTGTGAGTACCATGTTCATTCATGTCCTTTAATTATTTTTCTGTTTGGGGTGTTTATATTTTTCTTCTGGGTTAGTTAAGGCTCCTAATATATTAAAGATATTAACATTCAAGTGTCACACATGTTAAAATATTTCCCTGATTTTTTTTGTGTGTGTGGTCAGCATACCCATTCTGGAGTCAGAACTAAGGAATAAGAAATTTTCCTCATCTCCATTTTTACCTCTCAAATATGTTTTCACATACAGAGATTTTAAACTTTAATTTAGATGATCAAGTGTTTATTACAGGGTTTTTGCTTTTGTTTACATGTGTTGCATAGCTAGAAACTTCTTGAGGATTCTTTTCAAGGTTCATTAGATTTGAAAACATTTTGCTCTTAAACAAGTAATGCAACCAGGTACAGTGGCTCACTCCTGTAATCCCAGTACTTTGCAAAGCCAAGGCAAGTGGATCACTTGAGATGAAGAGTTCAAGACCAGCCTGGCCAACATGGTGGAAACCCATCTCTATCAAAAATGCAAAAATTAGCCAGGTGTGTATGCCTGTAATTCCAGATACTCAATAGGCTGAAGCAGGAAAATTGCTTGAACCCGGGACACAGAGGTTGCAGTAAGCTGAGGTCATGGCACCACACTCCAGCCTGAGCTACAGAGCAAGACTCTGTCTCAAAAAAAAAAAAAAAAAAAAAGTAATGTATGTACATGAGAAAACATTTTAGAAAGCAAAAGCCTGTTCAACATACAAAAGATATTCCTCAAGAAGTGCAACACCAAGGCACATAATCATCAGATTCACCAGGGTTGAAATGAAGAAGAAAATGCTAAGGACAGCCAGAGAGAAAGGTCAGGTTACCCACAAAGGGAAGCCCATCAGACTCACAGCAGATCTCTTAGCAGAAACCCTACAAGCCAGAAGAGAGTGGGGGCCAATATTCAACATCCTTAAAAAAAAGAACTTTCCAACCCAGAATTTCATATCCAGCCAAACTAAGCTTCATAAGTGAAGGAAAAATAAAACCCTTTGTGAACAAGCAAGTATTCAGAGATTTTGTCACCGCCAGGCCTGCTTTACAAGAGCTCCTTAAAGAGGTACTACACATAGAAAGGAACAACCAATCCAAAAACATACCAAATGGTAAAGAGCAAAAACAAAATGAAGAATCTGCATCAACTAACGGGCAAAAGAGCCAGCTAGCATCAAAATGGCACTATCAAATTCACACATAACAATATTAACCCTAAATGTAAATGGGCTAAATACCCCAATCAAAAGACACAGCCTGGAAAATTGGATAAAAAGCCAAAACCCATAGGTGTGCTGTATCCAGGAAACCCATCTCACATGCAAGGATACACAAAAACTCAAAATAAAGGGATGGAGTAAGATTTACCAAGCAAATGAAGGTCAAAAAAAAACAGGAGTTGAAATTCTCATCTCTGATAAAACAGACTTTAAAGCAACAAAGATCAAAAGAGACAAAGAAGGACATTACATAATGGTAAAAGGATTAATGCAACAAGAAGAGCTAACAATCCTAAATATATACGCACCCAATACAGGAGCACCCAGAAACATAAGGCAAGTTCTTAATGACGTGCAAAGAGACTTAGACTCCCACACAATAACAGTGGGAGACTTTAACACCCCACTGTCAATATTAGACAGATCAACCAGACAGAAAAATAACAAGGATATCCAGAACTTGAACTCAGACCTGTAACAAGCAAACCTAATAGACATTTACAGAACTCTCCAACCCAAATCCACAGAATATACATTCTTCTCAGCACCACATCAAACCTACTCTAAAATTGACCACATAATTGGAAGTAAATCACTCCTCAGCAAATACAAAAGAATGAAAATCATAATAAACATTCTCTCAGACCACAGTGCAATCAAGTTAGAACTCAGAATTCAAAAACTAACTCAGAACCGCACAGCTTCATGGAAACTGAACAACTTGCTCTTGAATATTGACTGGATAAACAATGAAATGAAGGCAGAAATAAAGATGTTCTTCGAAACCAACGAGAATGAAGACACAACATACCAGAATCTCTGGGACACATTTAAAGCAGTCTCTAGAAGAAAATATATAGCAATAAATGCCCACATGAGAAGCAAGGAGAGATTTAAAATTGACACTCTATCATCAAAATTGAAAGAGCTAGAGGAGCAA